CCATCAGTCTCATCCTCATCTTGGAAAAGGCATCTTTCCACAGGGTCTGGACAAAATAAAGTAGATCCTGGCTAATGCCTCATTTTTTCCCCCTTGGCAACCAGACCTTTGATTCTGAAACACCCAGGTGATATAACTCCTCAAATGCCCTGAAGTGAGGGATGAGGATGTGACATCCTCATAACCTTGCTGATAGAACAACTACCAGATTCTATGGTCTGCAAATGGTGTGTGTGTGTGTGTGTGTGTGTGTGTGTGTGTGTGCGTGCGTGCTGGGATCCAGACACTACTCTTCGGGAGTTTGATTGGGTATGTTAGTTTCTAGTGTCTTTGGGTAATATGCTGGTTCTGCTCTCTTGAGGACAGTTTTCTAGCTTCAGGCTGGCGAGGCCTTCTGGAAACCAAACTTCTCTAGAAGAGGCCACAGCTTTCCTTTTTCCTTTTCTTCAACAGAATAAGAAAAGGGGTGTTGATTTTATCTTGGCTTTGGGGGTTTACTAATAACTGTTCTGTGTGGTATTTTAAGATTGGCACTGGTTTTCCCAGCAAGGAGAAATGGTCCTGTCAGCAGTTGTGAGATTGATCTGAATGCTTCCTTAGGACTTTTGGGGTGTTATTTAGCCTGGACCACTGAGAAATGTCCCCAGTCCTCTCCATTCATGGGCAATAAATTTATACACTTAATGTACAGTCATCTAATTAGATACATGTGGATCAATATGTGTTGTTCCCAAAGCTAATTTAACAAGGCTTGCTTCTTATTTATATTATACAGCTTTTACTTAAAAAGTTAAGATTGCAGAGGGGAGAGAGACACATTTCCTACCACAGAGGGTATTTTTAAAACCTCACGTGGGACTCAGAGCCACGTCTCAGCATGGGGAGGACAGTCTCATGAGACTTCCAGGCCGACCTGGCAGAAGTGAATTGCATGTCACAAATCTCAGAAATTAATAGGAAGGGTGCTATGTGAATGAATGCACAGCTCCGCCTCACACAACCCGATCTCAAACCTCTGTCGCAGGCCACAGACAAAAAATTGTGAATGCTTTTTGTCCAGTGCCTATGTGACACTTTACAGGAGAGAATATTTCAAGTCTTACACTATTTTTAAAAATATATATTTTATTGATTTCTTACAGAGAGGAAGAGAGAGGGATAGAGAGTTAGAAACATCGATGAGAGAGAATCATCGATCAGCTGCCTCTTGCACAACCCCTAATGGGGATGTGCCCGCAACCAAGGCACATGCCCTTCACTGGAATCAAACCCGGGACCTTTCAGTCTGCAGGTCGATACTCTATCCACTGAGCCAAGCCGGTTTCAGCAAGTCTTACACTATTTATATCAAAATGCCCTGTTTTCCCGTCATAGAATGGGACTTGTTAATATATTAAGTCTCACTAGGTTGGATGCATTTTGCTTTAATAACTGAGACAGGTCTTCAGTGTTTTGAGACCAAAAGTTGCATCTCTATGGGTTGCCCATGAAAATGGGGAGTGAGGGTATAGGGATTTTGTGTGGGGTGGGGGGCACTAGCATTCATCAAACATGTGACAGGGCCTCTGCTAAATGAATTATATGCATTTTCTCATTTAACTTAAATGAGAAAATGCATATAACTCAAGAGGCAAGATTTACCACCATTTCACAGAAGATTAAACCAAGGCCTAGAATATTGGCAAGGGTCACAAAATGGTTAAGATACCAGCTGCATTCCTATGCATGGGTCTCTTGCTGGGTAGTTAGAGAATACAGAATATTCTGTTGCATAGAACTTTCTAGAATTCTGCCAAGGCTCTGCATGACCATTTCTTTCTGTACCAGGAGGGAAGGTTCCTAATACCTATAAAGTCAACACAGTTGCTGGCCCACTGCCAACAAGAAGCCAAACACAGTTTCCTCATACTATTCTAAGAATGCTATAGTTAACAGGCCTTGTACCCAGTGGGCTCACTAAGATTTTTTTGGGGAAAAAAAAGTTATTTTCTAGAGCTAATAACACCTTTGCTCTGTTCATGAGTATACTTTGGGCAGATCAAAATCACATGGGGGTCCCTACCCAGGTTCACTAACTTTTCCAAACAGATCTCTCTCTAAGAAATTGTGTTGTTGGGTATTTTATCCCATGTTGCCCAAAGAGAAGACTATTCTGAATTAGTTTGGTCAGGTAAGTGATAAGCATTTTTATGAGACACATTCAGGGGGCAGAGAGAGCCATCCATTCCGAATTGTCTCATTAACTAGTGGGTCTGCTGGAGGAATCCCGTCATGACTGAGGTTCCAGGGAGGGCTGTGCCCTTCCTTTGAAGAACTCCCTAAAGCCCAGCTGGTGTGGCTCAGTGGTTGAGTATTGACCTATGAACCAGGAGCTGACAGTTCGATTCCCAGTGAAGGCACATGCCAGAATGGGATGTATAAGAGTCAGCCAATCAATGATTCTCATCATTGATGTTTCTATTTCTCTCTCTCCATTTCCCTTCCTCTCTGACATCAATAAAAATATATTTTAGAAATAAAGGGCACTCTAAATACAGCCATTTGTCATTTATAGGAGCATTTCAGAGGTCAGGATCAGTCCTTCAGGGAAACCAAGTCCCCATCAATATGGTGACTTTCCCCCATTACAGTAATATCTAACCAAATTCTACTTTCCTTTTCATCTCCATCAAGTGTGGGCAAGTGTTCATAATGACACTGAATTTCAACCTTTTAATCCCCACTAATTAACATGAAGAATTAGATTACTTCCCCTAAGCCCTGCTTTTTCATTCTTGGCTATAAACACAGTTTGGGAAATGCAATCTGTGTACAATCTGAATTAACTGACCATGTCTCCACCTTCCCACACCCAGCAGAGTGAGATAAAAGAACAGAGACAAGCAGGGAAGAAAGAATGATGGAATGTTTATTGAGACTGAAATGGAACATTGTTCTCTTTGATGCGTTAACAGCACTGTGTGTTAAGAGGTCAGTTACAAATGGACTCCAAAATAAGGATGACCTGCAGTTCATGAACAGCTCTGCAACTCTGGTGCCTCAAATCGGAGAAACCTGCCAAGGGGGTAGAACCATCCAGCCCAAGATAAATTACCGACTCAACTGCATTATATTTAGATTGACTTTCTATAAACAATTCCATTCTTTGCATTTAAAAACTCACATTGAATTACTGGTTCATACTTATGTTTTCGGGACAATTCGGGATCATTCTCCTGTAACCTTCAGGTGCAGGTGATCAATACTGAGCACGGAGACATGAATACACAATTTGGCACAATTTCTGGTTTCTTAAATAAGAAAGCACAGGCTTAAGTTGGCTACTCAGTACTGCAGAAGCACGGGTATTTTAGATCTCAGTGTAAATACAAACGTCATGTTAAGCATTATTTACAAGATGGTGAGCTGAAGCACAGACTTTAATAAGATATCTTCATAAATTAGCAGGAGAATGGCAAATGATGGATTTTAAGGAGCAGGGCCAAGATCACATGACTGCTAGTTGAGTGGTCGGCAAACTCATTAGTCAACAGAGCCAAATATCAACAGTACAACGATTGGAATTTCTTTTGACAGCCAATTTTGTTTACACTTAAACTTCTTCTAATGCCACTTCTTCAACATAGACTCGCCCAGGCCGTGGTATTTGGTGGAAGAGCCACACTCAAGGGGCCAAAGAGCCGCATGTGGCTCGTGAGCCGCAGTTTGCAGACCCCGGTGCTAGTCGGTTAGAACAATTCTCCCTGGAGGAAGACACAAGTACCACACAAATGAAGGATTTTCCTGAACCACTGATCCCAACATCTCAGGCTGTGGGAGTTACTCTGTAAGAATCCAGGGAAGGGATAGTGCTTTTCTGGGCAGTTGGCTTGTTCAACTTACCAAATTCGTATTGAAATACAGTTATCAGGTAGCTTGCCACTGTTGCTTGGGCCCTGATGGGTACAAAAGGGCAAAGGACTATCATTTTTTAAGTGTGTATTACTGACCTTGGAAGAATGAAGCCTTCCAGCTGGATAAAAACACATCCAGCCTTACATGAGTGACACCTTTGAACATAATCTCACATGGAGCTGCTACGACTCCCTCTGGGCAGGAGAATTTGGAAGTTGTAATGAATGGCTATGCCACCTCCGAGTATCACCATAACCTATCTCTGCTTTCAGGCAGAAATGATCAAACAACACGATTTCTCAGTGTAGTGCTCCTGAGAGAGGAGTTCTGATAAGCATCAGAATAGGTCTGGATTGGAATCATAGTTATTGTTCAAGTATTAGGAGAGCTCTTTATTTCACATTGACTGTTCCATTCTGATCTCTGTCTGGCAATTTATATGAAAATAATATATATATTATCTAGTTCTATCGATACCCTGAACACTGGATTAATAGTTACCAGTGTCCCAGTACAGTACTTGGAAAAAAATGATCTTCCTTCCCCACAAACCTGACACTCATCTTAAAATTGTTATTGCAGAACTGTGTTGATCTGTTTTCTTTCAAAGCAGTGTTTTTTTTAATTGGCTGGAGATGAGTTCAAAATGGACAATTTGGCACATTAACTAGGGAAGGGGGATGGTTTGGATGCATTATCATCTATAAAAAACGTGAGACATCAAAGGAAATTCATGCCAATAGAAAGCCTGAGTAAAAAATTTGTAATCACTGACAGAATAGTTTTTTAAAAACCCAAAACACTGGTCTGTGTGTGAGAAAGCAATTGCGCTTTCACATCTGTTACCTAATTCCAACAACTGCTATGTTATATACTTCTAAACTTTGTCTCTTGTAAAGTTTTAAAACTCCAGATAATATAGCTTGCCTTTTCATCAATTTCCTTTTCTCTTACCCCAACCCCAAGTCCCAGAACATAGAGAGCAAAAGCTCCGAATCCAAATATAGAAAATAGTCTGGAGGTCTGTGAATCAGGTCAAATGTACAATTGGCCATTAGTGTTCTTCTTTTCCTTAATGTTTGAATTTTCTAAGAGATGTCCTTCCTCTAGAACTGTGAGGTCTGGGTGAACGAGATGGTGTCAGATCTGTCGATGGCAAAGCCTCCATTGACATAGGACTTCTTGGCGTCTGAGTCTTCATTATCGAGTGTTGTGGTTTCCACAGCAAAGGGGTTTGTGAAGTTGACGTCAGAAGCAACAGTCATCTGCTCCAGCTCCTTCTTAGAGAGCTTCTCCACGATGCCCGTCCCAAAGGCGTCACCAAGGACATTCACCATGGTCCTGAACCGGTCCCTGGGGAAGGGAGAGGGTGAGTCAGACAGGAGGCCCAGATTTCATTTCCCTGCCCATTGGAGAGAAGACAGGACCTGAAGTGTTGAGTTACAAGTCAAGCAAATGCAGATAGTGCTGTCCTCATGGCTGGCTGACCAGAGGCTCCTCTCCTCACAGGCCTGAAGCAGAAGTTGGTTCATAAAGGCACAGAATGAGCAGACCAGATCCCCCAGGCCCGTGCTCCCAAGTCACAATGACTCCCCAAACTTCACCAATTTACCACTGACCTCTGTCTTGTGAACATTTCTGGGCTCTCTTGGCTAAGCTGAGAGAGAGGAAGGGAGGGAGAGAGAGAGAGAATGATTGGTTGAGGCTTGAATGATCTAACTCCTTGGTTGGCAAACTGTGGCTTGCGAGTCACATGCAGCTCTTTGGCCCCTTGAGTGTGGCTCTTCCATAAAATACCACGGCCTGGGCGAAGAAGTGGTGTTAGAAGAAGTTTAAGTTTAAAAAATTTGGCTCTCAAAAGAAATTTCAACTGCTGTACTGTTAATATTTGGCTCTGTTGACTAATGCGTTTGCCCATCACGGAGTTAGACCATTCAAGCCTCAACCAATACCTCTCCCCCCCCCCCCCTCTCTCTCTCTCTCGTTATAACAATTAAGACTTGCCTTTTATTGAGCACATACTGCCTTCCAGACACTCCTCTCATATTAGCTCACTCGGTCTTTAAACCAACCCGATGAGACAGACAGAATCTTTTCCATCTTTCAGATAATACAACAGGACCTCAGAGAGGTTAAGGAACTAAAGGTCAAAAGCCAGTAAGAGACTGCTCAAGGATTCAAACCCAAGTCAGTCTTATTGCAAAGCTGATGCTTATGCCACTGCCCCTGATGGTCTGAAGCTGGGAAGATGGGCTGATTTTGAACCAAGTGATCTGAACCTATGCTGCTGACCTAGGGCTGGGATAGGCCAGGGTGGCCTATGGGGTTTAGAATGTCTGGGGCCTTGCCTACCTTCTTCACCATGTTATTTTGTGTTTATCTTGTCCAATGCCTGGCTTTTAACCTTGAACATTACCAGGTATAATGCGCTAGTACGTATCACTGGCTTTTTAAAATCACTGCTTGAAGTTTCTGAGGAGTTAATTTTTAACTACATTATCAGATGACCTGGTTAGAGGGAAATGAAAGCAGCAACAGATGGCTCATGAGGCAATCTGAAGAGAGAATGACAGACTGAAGATTCTGCAGCACGTTTATCCAACTCACAGGAACCAGTCGACAGCGATGATCAGGGTGACATCTTCAGTGGGCAGGCCCACAGCGCTCAGTACGATCACCATGGTCACCAGGCCGGCCTGGGGTACACCCGCAGCTCCGATGCTGGCAGCTGTGGCTGTGACACTGTAGCCAAAACACACCAGCACGAAAGGAGTTAGATATCCATTTCTTCCTTCAGGGCCCGTAGCCCGAAACAGTCCCGATACTATTACTGCTGTGTCCCCAAATTGGCCAGTCAAAATCTCTTATCTACTGAGCTCCAGCTCTGCCTTATTAAAGGGCGGTGGGAGACGGAGGGGAGTATTATCTTCCAGGGGAAAGAGGGCAGCCCACTCTAATGCAAGGACTGCATGAGGCACACAACGTACAAGAGAGAGATTCAAGAGGAAGGCAAGTGTTTACCAACCGGGATGGATGACCAAACAAATGACAAATGTCTCTCCACCTACTTTTTTCTGTCTACTCACCCATCAAGCATTTAAGGAGAATCTAATACCTGCCAGGGATTTATGTTGCCTTGAAGGATAGTAAAGGGAGAGTGGTATGGACAGATGGTCAAGGGCATTTTAGGTGAAGCTAAAACCTCAAGTGTTTAAGGAGGTTTTATTCACTTTCTCAACATCATCAGACTCTTGACATCTCTGGCAGATGCCCTTTAGGGCACTGACTTAAGAAATAGCTGACGCCTGTCCAAGGTATAAGCATTCATTCCGAAGGCTCCTTTTTGCCAGGGGATGATGCACTTTGTACAAAAGAAAGGTCTGGAATTCAGGAGAGGCAGCCATGGGAACTTTGCAAAGTATTTAAAAAGATCCCGCTTGGGCAGATAAAATGTGGCACGAAGGATTTTCCCCTTTGGAATGTGCAGTTTTTCATCAGCAACTTCCTTACATCTGGTCACTTTGGAGGGAGCAAGAGCTCTCCTCCGGTCCTGAAAAAGTCCCTTGATTTGAGTCAGCTTGAAGGGGACAGCCACGACATTTTTCTCGAGACATGTCCTCACTCTGGGCCAAGGCCTGAACTGCCTCCAGGATGTCGCTGAGTTGAAAGGTGAAGATGCAGAAACTGCCGATTTAGAAGAATCCCCGATTCTAGCCATAAGTCCATATTCTTGTGAGTTCATAAAGCTTCACAGTTCTTACAAAGCTGATCCCAGTGCCCATTCTGCCCAATACGGGTCACAGGTAGTGTTTGAGGGTATGGTTAAACGCAGGCCAGAGTTCTTTGACAAGTAAGTTTTTTCTTAGTGGCCATGGCCACCCAATTTCTAGTAAGTTAGATTTCTGGGGCTGTCCCAATTACTCTCAAAGTTCCAGGCCTACACAACCCTTTGGATCTGTTCTGCCTTAAGTATTCTTTGTTAAATTCAAGTTTTTTTCAATGCTGGTTGAAAAAATTTAAACAGACGGCAAAGATGGGTTTTCTCTGTCAGAAGTAGTAGGTGCCCATGCCCACTGCTCCTTCTTGGAACCCTCAACACATCACTGTTAACCATGGGGTCACTACAACCTGAGGCTGGGCTTGAGACTCAAAATCCATTTAGTCAAACTCTGCTTTTTGACCTTGACCTTACTTTACTGAACTTCAGCTAACTTGCTTTCATCTGAAGTATGAATCTTCTGATAGGGGGGAAAATTTTACTAACAGCCTGTCCTTAGGCAAGTTACTTCTCTGAATCTGTTTGTCCCCTGTAAGAAGGAACTGATGTGTTTGCTTTGTAGTGCTGCTGTGAAGATTCAATGAGGTAACACATTTAAGGCATCCAGCACAGCACCTGGACCTAAGAGAGATTTAAAAACTGATGTCACTTTGGCTATATCAGCAGCTGCTGCTACCATGTTTCCCCGAAAATAAGACCTTCTTACAGGTTTCCTTCTGAGTGAAATATAAGGCATCCCCAAAAATAAGGCCCCCCTAGACTCTGTCTCACAATGCTATTGCAAAACATGAGAGATTTGGTCCACTGATTCTGAAAGAGATGGAGTCACAAGAAATTCACCAGAAAATTCAGGAATTGGATTGTTATGATGATGTTCCAGAAGATGATGACATGATTGTCATTGAATAAATGAGTAAATTTTGATACTGTAGGATTCACAGTTTGTCTGGTTTGTGTTGACAACTACTGTACTACCGTACCGTATACAGGTAATAAATTTCCTTTATTTTCATTTAACAATAAATGTGTACCGTATTCTTCTTCATGGAAAAATAAGACATCCCCTGAAAATAAGACTAGCGCATCTTTGGGAGCAAAAATTAATAATGTCTTATTTTCGGGGAAACAGGGTATTACTTCTACTACTGCTGCTAGTATTATTACTACCACCACAAAAACTATTACCGCTACTTTTTCCTCCAAGCTCTTTCTCGGCCCCAAATTCTATAATTATCTTTCATTATAAGAAACCGTATCCTACTTTAATCAGTTATAACCTTTGATAAATGAGTATTATGAGGAAACCACAACAGGGTGTGTTTTGGGTAGAGGATGCCTACATTTTTTGATGCCCAGTCCAAAATGGTCAGGAAAAGAGATAAACTATAAGTCCCCAAATCTCTTTAACCATCAACCACAGCCACAACTGTAACTTGTCAAGTTTAATGTTTATTATTTTATTCTTTCCCAGGTAGAGCCAGAGAGGATACTTTTTAAGTCAATGATTACCCCGGCCAGGCAGGTGTAATTGGCTTTGGGCCAGTATTAGCAGCCAAGTCTGAGACAAGAATACCCCAGAGCAGGGAGAGAGATTTTTTATGTGAATTGAGTATGTAGCCTCAAGGCCCAAAGTTTATTCCTCTAGCAGTTTTTTTTTTTTTTTTTTTTAAAGGTTACAAAGATCCAGGAAACTTATGACTGAGGCAGGGAGGGAATTCATCACAAAGTGGCAAAGACCCAAAAGAACTGGCATCTTATACAGCCACTCCTTAGAAGCCAGTTCAGTGCAGATGGGGACCCACAGTCCAAAGTGAGGGAGGTGGGGAAAGGCACTGGGGAGTCTAAAAGTAACAACTGCTTGCCCTGACCGGTTGGCTCGGTGGATAGAGCATTGTGGACTGAAAGGTCCCAGGTTCGATTCTGGTCAAGGGCATGTATGTTGGTTGTGGGCACATCCCCAGTGGGAAATGTGCAAGAGGCAGCTAATTGGTGTTTCTCTCTCGTCGATGTTTCTAACTATCCTTCTCTGTAAAAAAAAAAAAAAAAAAAAAAAAAAAAAAAATTTCAATAAAATATATTAAAAAGTAAATAAATAAAAGTAACAACTGCTGGAACCACCGTGGCTGTGAATAAGGATTTCAATTTTAACATACTTGTTACTGTTCAAACTATAGGACTTCATTCAAGCTCTTTCTGATGGAAAACATTTAAAATGACTGCAGTGATGGGTTTTCTTTGTTAGAAGTAGTAGGTGACCATGCTCACTGCTCCCTCTTGGAACCCCCAACATATCCCTGCCAACCATGCAGTCACTACAGCTTGAGGCTCTTTAGCCACTAACAAGGGCTCCTTAGCCTAACACTTGAAGACCATGCAGCATTCATGCAGTTGCCCAGTTGATACGCCAGATAGTCCAGTTTGCACTTGTCTTCGGTTAATTTCAAGCAAACTGCAATAAGTACGTTATGACTTGGGGTCGGGGAAGATTTAAAAATGTACTGTATTAAAACAGTTAGAATTTATTGCTTGCCTGGAACTTATGCCTATACCAAGTGCTTGGGATGAAAGAATGAATTAACTTTGAAATGTTCATGCTCAGCCTCGCGTAGGTGCAAGAACTCAGCTTAGTCTCAAACTCCCACTCTAAAGTCTCCGACTAATCACAATCCACTCTTCAAAGCAGCGCTGACCAGTAGGAGTTTCTTCAACGACAGCACCTGTTTCTACAATGATAGAACCTTCTGTGCCTGCTCCATCCAATTTGTGTGAGTAGCTAATGGTACTATATTGAGAAGGGCTGTTCCAGAGAAACAGCTCTGGCAAAATTCACTAAGGACATTTTTACTACCTACTTGAGTAGACAATTTCAGTCTTCATTTGACTAGGATTCTCTGCAGTATTTGACTCCACTGGCCATTTAATCTTTGGAAATCTCTCTTCTCTGGGTGTCAATGATACCATGGTTTCAGGGCTCTCTTCTTATTTTTCTTTCCTTTTCACTCTTCCGCTTGTGCTCTTCCTTCCCTGCCTCTAACATTAGGATTTTCTAGGCCTCAGTCCTTAGTCCTTTTCTCTTCCCTAAGGACTCTCCCTGTGCAATGCCATCCATTTCAAACATTTACCGAATGCTCACTACATTGGCAGCATTCTAAGCATTTTATATGCATCGTCTGACTTAACGATCATTACTTGCACAAAATGTACATACTATTATTATCCTCATTTTATGGGTGAGAAACAGAAGCTTAGAGAATGCGATCAGCTTGGTCACAGTTACAGCTAATCATGGTAAAGCTCAGATTCAAACTCAGATAATTAACTCCCTATCAAGCTGAGGACCCTGGCTTCTGTATCTACAGTGAAGACCTGGCTTCTATAGCTACATTTCTCTCACTGCATACTTCTACCTGGGTGTCTTAAAGGCATTTCAAATTCAGTGTCTAAAAGTATAAACTCTATCTTCCTATCTAGACTTGCTTCTCCTACACTAGATCCTGTTCTGGTAAGCACCATCCACCAATCCAGAAACACCCACCAATCCTGGGGGCCATCCTATCTGTCCTCTGTCCCTCGCTCCAAATCTACCTGATGCCTCTTTCACTAGCTCATCTCCATCTCTCATGTCAGTGCCCTGATGTGGGCCTTTTCATACTGTACCTGGACTTCTGTAATGGTCTCCTAATTGGTCTTCCAGCTATGGCTCCTGCTCCCATCCAGTTGCCTTTTAAAATGAAAATCTGTCCATGGTATGAAGAATTGTCAAAGACCTTTCCATGAGCTCCCCATACAAAGCTTTCATGACATGATTCCTGACTCCTCATTTCTTTATGTTCTCCACATCGCACTCATACAAAATAATCTGTACTTGCTATTCCTTTTATCTAAAATGCTCTTAGTTTCCTTCTTTTCCTATGAAATTCTTAATTCCTTTTCTAAGACTTAGTTAAACTTTCTCCAGGAAGCCTTTCCTCACCTTCCCAGGTAGAACCAACCCTTCCTTCGTTGGTGTCTTCGATGCCTCCTACTCAAACCTCTACTATAGCCCTTATCATACCACTCAGCATTTATTTAGATATGCGTAACCCTTATCTACCTACTGGGAACCCTTGTTCAATCTTGAACCCTTGGTATAATACCTACTCTGTGCCTAGGACCCAGCAAGGCACTAAACTGAGATCAGAATGATGCTTTTGGCTTATTCAGGCCTTGAAGCAGAAATCTTGTGCAGTACAATCCCACTGCGTGAAACAGAGTTGTGCTTAGTTTTGGGAACAGACTTTGTAGACCAAGAAAATCAATCCACCACTGCACCACTCTTGATCTCCTTTCACAGACAACTTATCCTAGAGGCAATTCCAGTAACGAAGATGAGAATGAATGTGACATCATGCCCCTACCTGATAGTGACTATCTGCCCAATGCTCAAGTCCATGTCATTCAACTGTGCAATGAACACAGCTGCCACTGCTTCGTAGAGGGCAGTCCCGTCCATGTTGATTGTAGCACCAACGGGTAACACAAATCTAGTGATCCTTTTGTCCACCCGGTTGTTTTCTTCAGCACAGCGGAAAGTGACAGGCAGGGTTGCTGAACTGTGTGATAAAAAGACAAAGGACTTATAGTTTGAAAATGCTGGTCCTCAGTCCCTGCCTGAAGAAGGGATACCTCCATTCCAAAAACTAACCGGGAGCCCAAAGCATGCTGGCACCTTTGACAGGCGCAGGAATCCAAAGGTGCTATGGTTGCCACTGCTCCAAGTTACAATATAATCCCTTCCTGGGCTGCAGGCTGTGCCAAGAGGGCCGGAAATATCCCACACGGTGAAGAACTACATTCAAGGACGCGGGCAGAGACTATGGAGATCATTTCTTTCTTTATGTTTTTAATTTATCTCAGAGAGGGAGAGAAACCAATTGGTTGCTTCCTGCATGTGTTCCAACTGGTGATTGAACCCACCACCTAGTAATGTGCCCTGACTGGGAATCGAACTGCCACCATTTGATGAATGGACTGGTACTCCAACCAACTGAGCCACACTGACTGGGGCAAAGCAGCTACAAAAACTGTAAGCTGCAGATACTGCTTTATCAAGTGAGGTGAGGGTTGATAAAAGCTTGGTTCAGACTCTTCCTCTAGACACCCCTCTTCTGTTTACCTGGAAGAGATCATGAGAGCTGTCAGGAGAGCCTGGGCCATCCCCATGGCAAACCGGAAAGGGTTCTTTCTTACCACGATGAAATATATCAGAGGGAGAATTACAATGGAGTGGATTGCGAGCCTGAAAATGAGAAAGGAACAGGTTCATGGATGATACCACCTCTTCATATTAATCCTTTTTTTTCAAAGAGCTTTTTCATTCATGATGCCATTCAACTTGCATATGGACCTAATGAGAAAATGAGAAGCAGGGCAGGAATATGTCTCCAGTCCACATATGAGGATGAGGAGATTCATTCAGCAAATGAAGTATCTTATCAGAGTTACTGGCAAAGCCAGTAGCTGAATGCACATTCCGGGGCTCACAGGACAATTACATCGTGTTTCCAAGCCCCGATCGTGCTGTTCTGGCTAAATGTGATAAAATGCTTTCACTTCCTTCTGCTGCCGAATTCTCCTCTAAGAGCCCTCTCCTTCAGGAAACCTTCCCTCAACCTCCCAGCTCCTGCTGACCCCTCCCTTCTTGGTGACTCTGTGGCCCCCTCACAAACCTCTATCATAGCCCTTCACAGTCTCAGCCGCTCTGCTCCCGGGGCCTCACCACTGTTCTGTGGGATGGTGCCCACTGTCTAAGAAGGAAGTGAGGATTGCGATGAGGAGGAGGAAGCCCTGGCTCTTCCATTTTCATACTTTGGACCGACTCTCTTTGTTATTCCTGTCTTCCAAAACTATTCCTTGTTCCACATGGAAATATATGGGTTACACACAACAGGGGGCTTCAGAAAGGAGACTGATTCAGCAGATGCCATCTATGTGGTGGCTTGGAGTTTAAAGATATGTGAAGCTCAAATAGTAAGTAGTCATTGGCATGCAGCTTCCCGGAGAGGGGGTAGTGGAAAGAGGGTCTCCTGGATAGAGAGCTTGTGGCTACGAACGCTGAGGAACTGACTTCGTTTACTCTTAGGAACCTAGCTAGGATAAGAGAACAGAAACCAGCAGAACCCCGTTATGGAGTGGTTTCGTTTCATAAGCCGCAGCCCCATCACTGCCCGGACACAGCCTCTGGCCTCTAGTAAGGTGGATGGTCCTGCCTCCCTTTGCACCAGGCCCTGGGATTTGACTGACCCTCACACTGTAGGAATCCACGCTGCATCTCTATTGGCCTTCAGGGCTGTGCTCTTGGTAAACACAGACTAAGTACCAAATACTATGCAGTAGAAATCCCTCAATACAGCCAAAACCGGTTTGGCTCAGCGGTGGAGCGTCGGTCTGCGGACTGAAGGGTCCCGGGTTCGATTCCGGTCAAGAGCATGTACACTGGTTGCGGGCACATCCCCGGTGGGGCGTGTGCAAGAGGCAGCTGGTTGATGTTTCTCTCTCATCGACGTTTCTAGCTCTCTATCTCTCTCCCTTCTTCTCTGTAAATCAATAAAATATATTTAAAAAAAAATCCCTCAATACAAACCCCGAGTCCCAATAGGCAAGCTGATTGTTTAAATGGGTGTTTGGGGGCGTTGACCAGTGGGAGTGAAATTGATGATGTTTATTCATTCCCCTGGTCCATATTTCAAGGCCCATGTGATGTATCCCACCCCCGACTAGATATCTGGGAGCTCCATTTATCATCGATTCCCCTCAAGGAACCAATAACTGGACTGTAATAAGTATGCAAATGACCTGCCTCCTGCTGCCCTCCTGCTTTACCCAATTCCTTCTAGCATAAAGATTTCCCCTGGCTGGCCCTGTGAGGATGCAGGGGGTGACCGTGGTCACCAGCCCCACCAACAGGGTCCTGGAACCGACCAGCCATCCTGTTCCTACTTGCTCGAGTCTGATTTTATTGAGGCCTGTCTAATTTCTTTCAGGCCCAGGGCACATGGGTTTATTCTTACTTGCTCGGTTAGTTTATATCCTTGAGGAAGTGAAGGCCAGGAGACAGCCAAGATAGGCTACCAGTGGGTTTTTAAAAAAATCATTTGAATACAACTAATAAAAGCAGTGACAAAGCCGGGTCCAGGCTGTTCTGCCAAGATATGGCACTGAGCACAGTGCAAACCACCCCCAGTACAGCTGTTAAAGGGCAGTTCCCCTCTCCCCCACACCCGGCTCTCTCATCTCTGCTGAACCCCATTTTCCCCGGCATGTGGGAGAGAAGCCAATGTTAACCCTCCGAAACCCAGACTCTCATGAGCTCAAGTGAGGTTTCTTCTCTTGGGTCTGACGTACCCAGTCAGGACAGTGACCATGTAAAGGCCCAGCTTGCGGAATATGTCCCAGTCTTCAACTTCGATGATCTTTCCGGCAATCAGGAATAAAATGCCGATCGGCATGTAACTAGGAAGTAAGCAAAACGGAGTCAGGTGTGTTCTCAGGGTGGGATTGTTGAGGAAGAAACAAGCCCCAGCCTGCCCCTTGGCTTTGTGCCCGCCCTCTGCTGGGAGGAGCTCTGGGTGCACAATGAAGCGAAGGTCTCAGTTTCATCTCAGTTCCAGGCTCTGGGGGACCACACTGGCTCCAGGTTTCAACACCTGTGTGTGCCTTAAATTCTACCCACCTAGGCTACCATGATGGGACACGCGTGGCAAGGAGGTATGGTTATTGTGTACCTGAAACCTATGTAATTTTATTAACCAATACCACCCAATACATTCAGTAACATAAATACATAAAAGGTGTGACTACACTACTGCATAGCCCATTTCTTGTTATCATTTTAGCTTGATCCTCCAAATATGGTCACTAGGCTCTTTCTAGCCATGGTTATCTTGTTTCCCAGACTGCAATATCAGCTAAGAGCCACAGGGTTCGTAGTGAAAGTGGTCATAATAGCTGTTTGTGGAGCTTTCATTACAGGTCTTGTGTTGGCTTATGTAGTTTACATGCATCAATTCAATTAGTGTGCTTCTCCCAATCCTAGTGGGAGATTTTATTACCCTTTTTTATACATCATGAAGCTGAGGTGCAGTGGGATTAAGTGACTGAAATAACTGAACCCTTTACATCACTGCCAATGTCTATAATCTGGAGTAAATAATGTTAAACCACTTCAATATGAGATAAGTGGGACAGAGGTCTCCGAGGAAAGGTGGGCTTTTAGGCATCTCCGAGACAGGGCAGGCCCTCAGGCAGCTTTCGTTTGGATGGGTTAGTGCTCGTGCTGTACTTGTTGTAAATATCTGGAATATCTCTTCTGCGTGGGCCACTAAGGAAAGCACTTTGTGTTTTGATGTGCAGGCAACCCCTTCAAATCATGCCTTTAAAAGCTACTCTTACATGAATGCTAGCTGGGTACAAGATGAGCAAGGGCTTTGGCAGTAAACACAATGGCTGATATTTAGACTCTCATTAGTGAACAAAAAATAACACGTGTCATGATTTAATACCCTTGTTAGTGTCTGATATTCAGGGTTCCCCTTTTCTAAGGTGAGTCAGTTGAGAATTAGTTGGTTCTAATTCAGGGAACAAAATGGCATTAATCAGCATTTGCTCACCACATAATGATCTGAATGATTTTCATGGTTGCGTCGGTCAGAGCATTGAAGAAATCCACCAGAATCTGTCCCTTTTCTCCCATTTTTCCAATGACAAGTCCAAAGACAAGGCAAAAGACAATCAAGCCGAGGACATTGATGCCATCTGAGTACATGCCTACGACTTTGTATTCCTTTGTTTCATTCTGTGAATCGAAACCAAGAAAATATATTGATGTGTGATTATAATCTTGTTAGACTGCATAGGTATTGAAATAAGAAGAAACAATAGCCAAACATAAGAAACTAGTGATCTATCTGTGAGAGTCAATAAAACTTTGGAAATATAACTAAAAATACAAAACACAAAACCCACCTACGCATTTTTTTATTGCCCCTACCTTTAGACATTGAAGTTTAAAGTGTTTTTTTTCTCCTCTTTCTCTCAACAAATCCATATTTGAGTATTTCTTTTGAAGATTTCTTATTATGGAATGTTTTACATTTTTTATTTTTTTATTGTTTAAAGTATTACATATGTCTCCTCCCCACCTCTATTGTGTTTTACATTTTTAGTTAAGAACTTCAGAATCAAGGCACTTTTCAGAGTTATTTTAACTACGCACTATATTTTGAGGCTATATAAAAATAATATAAATTAGTAATGCAGGAAACAAAAAAATATTGACCAGGGTGGACATTTTTAGGACATTTACTGGTTTATCCTGATAATGAAGCATGAGAACATTCTTGCCCTGGCTGGTGTGGCTCAGTTCACTAAGCATCGTCCCACACATCAAAAAGTCACTGGTTCGATTCCTGCTCAGGGCACATGCCCGGGTTATGGGCTCGATCCCCAGTAGGGGCATGCAGGAGGCAGCCAATAGATATTTCTCTCATGTAGATATTTTTCTCCCTCTCTTCCTTCCTCTCTAACATAAATAAAAACATATTTAAAAAAAGAACATTCTTTACTGCCTCTACTTTTGAATGACCAACAGGGTTCTGGAAACATAAAGTTTACCAGCCTGACCAGCAGGGCTCAGTATCGACCTATAAACCAGGTGGTCATGGTTCGATTCTCAGTCAGGGCACACGCCTGGGTTGTGGGCTCTATCTCTAGTGGGGGGTATATAGGAAGGAGCTGATCAATGATTCTCATTGATGTTTCTCTCTCTCTCCTCTTAAATCAATAAAAAAATATATTTAAAAAAAAAAGTTAACCAGGTTCCTACTATTAGGAGCCATTTGTTTGCTTTATCCTGTGTAAAAACAGCATGAGATTTACTGAGAGATTTCTTAAGGACAGAACATAAATGGACGAGCCCCAGTCATTTCTTAATTATGATGTGATTTACTCAAACAAATATTTACCAAGCAGCTGGAGTGTGCCAACTGCAGAGGCTACAGCATAAGGTCATCAGTAAAAGGGGAAAGATTTATTCATTTTGAAGAGAAACACTAGAGCATAAGTTCTTAAAATGCAGCTGGAAAGACAAAACTAACCAATGACAGTGAGATGGTGTGCAATTAACTGCACAGCCAAGCTGTGAGTTATGGGCATCCTATGGAAACTGGGGGCATGGATGAGGGCTGAGAGGTTACCATTAAGAAATGATTTGGGCTGAAACCGGTTTGGCTCAAAGGATAGAGCGTCGGCTTGGGGACTGCAAGGTCCCGGGTTCGATTCCGGTCAAGGGCATGTACCTTGGTTGCGGACACATCCCCAGTAGGGGGTGTGCAAGAGGCAGCTGATCAATGACTCTCTTTCATCGATGTTTCTAACTCTCTATCTCTCTCCCTTCCTCTCTGTACAAAATCAATAAAATATATTAAAAAGAAAAAAAAAGAAAAAAAAAAAGAAATGATTTGGTAAGCAAAGGCAAAAGTCATCCTGCACCGGACCTCTGTATCCTACTATGGGATACAGAATTCCTACCCATGTTTTATGGCTCCCCAACAAATTTAAACCACCCCATTGGATGCCCCAGAGTACCCAGTTCTTCCCCATTGTAATAGTCATCACTCTTCATATGAGAGCAGATGCCACATCTGTCTTGTCACTATGGCAATCCAATGTTCAGCAGGGCCTGGCTCAGGGAGGGTGATCAGGAAATCCTTGTGAAACCACATCAAAGGCAGGAATAACAAGGAATGAAGGAGGCTGATGGGGATAGAACAGAAGGGGCCCACTGGGAAGTGAGCCTGGAAACAAGGGAGGAGCCAGGGGCACTGGACCTGTCAGAGGGGTAAACTGGAGAGTGAAGGCTTTCTGTATGTGGAAGCAGGGAGCCAACGGTGGCCTGGATAATCTGAATTCTTAAGCCTATTGAACATTTATCTTTTCCTTACATTTTTCCTTTCTGTGTACAGGCGGAGAACATTCAGGAAAAGATCGGCTAGAGGACTAAAAATGTATTACTTCAGGCCCATACATTCGAAGCCTCCAACAGGGGAAACCTCCAAAGCGGTCAAAGCCCATCCATTTTATCCATGAGTTTATGGCAAACTCTAGGCGGCAAAACCTAACCTAAACTGAAATGAGGCCACGTATGACCTGTTTCTTTTAACGTGACAGAATAGTCACAAATTTGGTGCAAGAATATTGATGTGCTTGACTCTAGAGTTTTTTGTTTTTTAAAAAAAATATATTTTATTGATTTTTTACAGAGAGGAAGGGAGAGAGATAGAGAGCTAGAAATGTCGATGAGAGAGAAACATCGACCAGCTGCCTCTTGCACACCCCCTACCGGGGATGTGCCCGCAACCAAGGTACATGCCCTTGACTGGAATCGAACCCGGGACCTTTCAGTTCGCAGACTGACGCTCTACCACTGAGCCAAACCGGTTTCAGCTTGACTCTAGAGTGTTGTTGCCAATCCCACTTCAGGGAAATGTTTAATGTGTGAACTCACCACCTGGCCCATCTAACGTAGAAAACCATGGATCTGCATTGCACCTGGGCAGAGGGTTTCAGATAAGAAATTGTGGGCCTGCGACCTGCGTTTACGTTGTCGTGCAAACCTAACGCAGTTCCCAGAGGTTGCGCACCTCGACTCTACGGACTGGCAGAGACACAGAGGCAACTGGGCTCTCTCCTTTGCGTGGTTCCCCGGCTGCTCATTATTCTTGGTAGTTGAGTTCTATGAAGTGGTCACCGCTATTGAATTATCGAATACTAACTCATTGTTTCTAGGGAACATGTCTGAGTCAGTTCTTGGGAATCAATGTTCACAGCATTTCCATCACGTAATCCACACCTGACCTACTTTACGCAAATTTCTGTTCAGAGACGACCTTATCTCATATATACTGTTGCTTCACTAACATTGAATTCACAACCCACACATTAGAGCGCCTGCCTAAATGAAGTGTAGCTAAGCTTCTGTATTCTCTGGAAGGCACGTGGCAGCCCTCTTGCGTTTAGGAACCACAGACAGCACTTCAGCACTGTGGCTGGGGGATATTTTAAACAGTGAGATCACCATGAAAAGTACAAAACTGTGAAAATGTGGCATACGCACACCACAGAAAGACAGGTGTTAATATGTATGAGAGCTGAAACAAGAAGGCAGAGCACAGCTGTGTTCAGCCTCAGCTGGAAACACATGTGCATTGGGCGACTTAAATTTTTCATCACTCCGTGCACATCCGCGAATGACATTAAAGCGCCCGAGTGTTGGTTTTGAGGTCGCCAATCCCATTTAGCAAGTAGGTGAATTCACAAAGTGTGGAATGCACAAGTAATGAGGATGGACTATATACTTCCATCTCCTGCTCCCTCACAGCTCAGGCCCTGACTCTTGGGGGGGGAGGGGGTGTGGGTGACAAGGAAAGAAGCAGTCAGTACCTTGGCAACAGTCACAGCAGTTGTCATGACGGCCGTGACAGATGCTCCCGTCATATTCATCCCTGGCTCACTGGGAGGACTCACTTCTTTCCGCGTGGTCTTATACTGCAGGTTAGGAGGAAGAAAACACAGGAAACAAATGAAGAAAGTTTTTAAGCACCTGAGGCTAAATCACAGGAAATATAGTTACTTTGGGCAAACCAGCACCACTGAAAGATTCTACCTCTGATTCTTCTGTTGGCTCCAAGTGTTGACAGAACCTCCTATGAGGCTTTGGAACCAAAAGTGGAATTGAGAAATCCAAACCCCTGGCGCCCCCAGCCACCATTCAATGATGTCAAAAATGCTCTCTCACTTTCATAAGAAAGGACAAGTTAATGGAAGTATTGGTGTTATTTGTAGGTGCTTTCATAGACAGACTCTACAGGAATCCTGTGCATCATTTTTTATTCTATTTATTATTTTTAACCTGGGAGAAAACTCACCATTTTGGTAAATGTAGTCACTATGACTTTAATAAACATCAACAACTATATGGTTGTTCCAAAATCAACAGTCGTTTAGGGCTACTCCATGAGATTTCTGTGGACTCCCCCTCCTTCAGCCCCATCAGGTTCTGTGGAGCTTCGGCAGACAGGCTGAAGAAAGAGCTAGTCTACCCTCACACGAGGCAGAAAAGTCATGCCTACCAGCTCTGCCAACGCTGAGGACCTCACAAATGACCACTGTGGCTGAGGCGCAGAGGCAGCCCTGAGATAGAGGTGGTTCTGTGCTGCCTGGAGATCGGCAGCGGGCAGCTTAATTGAGGTGCCTGCTGGTACACACAGGGGTCTCTGTTCGTGTAATTTATGTAAATCAAGTCAGCAGTTTGCGATAGACTCAGCTGTCTAAGTGCATAGTAGACAAACAGGAGAACAAGATGTGAGGAGAATGGAGTAGAGAGATTTTTAAACTTTCCTAGAGAATAAAATAACCAAGGTGGTGGTATAGTGTTTCTCAGAGTGTCAGCAATGGGGACAGAATGATTAAGGAAAAGACCAAAGACCAGCCGCCTTGTGGGTCCGATACTGAGTGAAAGCGGAGGCGGGCCCACTTTTCCCCTGCAGGGCAGCTCCTGACAGTCTGCATCTATTCACAAATACAGTACAATGAGGCTCTGCACAAATAGGTATGAGAAGCCGTGTCCTAAAACATTCATTGGCAGGGTAGAGAGGCCAATGGCGGAAAAAGGGGCTCTCTGTGATACTTTGGATGATAAAGAGAAATTAAAAAAAAAAGAAAATATTCATCGCTTGACATTTTTTTCTGACTTGCTCCATTTGAGCCCCTTTTCTGGGGTGTGGAGAGGGACATAAAAAAAAAAAAAAAAAAAGGGAGCAGAATAAGCTACAACAGGCACCTAGTTCACTGTGACTGAAAGACCAGGATACAGTACAGAGGCACCGGAAATGCCTCCATTCCCAGGTACATCTCCTGCCATTTTGATGGGCTAATTCCATTTGCTGGGTTATGGCAGGAAAAAAAAATGTAACTGATAGTGGGAAGAGGGGAGCAATGTGGGCAAAAGTCAGTATTACCTGCTGAAAACAGGCTTGGACAAGGTTCTCAGGGAACATATTCCTGTTGGAGACATGAAAAGCAGTATTATGTTAAGGCAAAAGTGTTCTGTTTTTTTGTTTGTCATACCCAGTACAGGGGCGGAAATGAGTGTAACATAGAAATCAGTCCTCTGGTTTCTCTTCTGGCTTCTCTGCATAATACTTCCTTGTTGTAAGATTTATTCTTCCCTGCTATGCTCCAACCAAGAATAGAAAGCTCTCCTAACCAACTGTTCCTTAAGAGGAGCTGGTACACATACTGTCCTGGGGAAACACCATACTGGCAGATGGACACCTGAAGTGAAGAGACGACTTTAATATTCTGCACATTTCTGTTTTCATCCATGAGAATATATGCATACCAAGAGTCCACTGCATTTCTTCCCAAATTCTTGATGCCAACTGCAAATATCATTGCTGTTACTGAATTTAAAATTATGTAAATCAAGGAGATACGGGTGTGAGAAAGAAGGTATGATTTCAATAAAAATTTTCTATAAGCCGAGTGCCTGGAAACTCAATCAAGCCAAGTGACTAAAACTTCTGCAGTTAAATTAGGTGTGGGAAGGCACCTAGAATAAAAAGGAAAACTGGAAGGATTCGGCACTCCGCTTTCTTTGCAAGTCTAAGGGTTTCTGTTGCTCCGCTTCACAGAAACTGAAGCCTGAAATTCTAGACGACGCATTTCTGTTACATCCTGCAGCATATGCAGCAGAAATGGTAGGAAATTACAATCAACTGACACACTCGAAGAAAAGACCTAGACCCTACATTAAAAAGTTAGCAAATACATTCGTTTAAGTTGTAACTGTAAACAAAATACGTAATGCGTATCTATCATTTTTTTATGATTCTCTTCCTTAATTGCTATTTATGAACTAACCAATTTCCAGCCCTGACTGCTTCAAATTAAGAAGTTTTTCCCCCCTGTACAATTAAAAATATTTCTTCAAATGTGCTTCAGAACTGATTACCCAGCATCTTTATCCAACAAGCATACCTAGTTTCTGCATCTCTATCCATGCTAAGTCCTGATGGAGGAGCTCATTCCTTCCATGCCCTTTTAGAGCCATGACTCAACAAGCAGCCCTGGCTATGTAATTTGCAGGATCCAGGGCAAAATGAAAATGCACAATCATTTAAAAATTATTAAAAATCTCAAGATGGCAACAGCAGATCGTTAGAGTTAGCATGGGCCCTGAGTGACCACACAGGTTGAATGCCAATGAAGCTACCCTGATGGCAAGACACTCACCTGATCAAGTCTAACATGGCGTCCACAGTACTGACTTCAGGGCTGCTGCCTTGCCTGTCAATTTCACCCACTTTCTGGCTGACACCGGGCTTGATGGTCACCACCAGCACGATACCTATGGCCAAGGAGAGTACCCACAGAGCATTGAGACCCTTCCAGAACACCCAGCACCCCCAGTGCATCCTTCTTTGACCCGATGGACATGGTGGGACCCCGAGGTCCAGCCAAAAGGCTGACTCACAGCTGCGACTTTAGCGGCAGCCTTAATTACTTTTCCATTTAAATGAAGCTGAAGGAACTCTTCTCCCATATCTTTTTTTTTTTTTTTTAAATGAAGGGGCTACCCCTTCCCTCTGTCCATCCCCCATCTCTCTCTCTAAATAAAATAAAATAAAATAAAATAAAATAAAATAAAATAAAATAAAATAAAATAAAAATAAATAAATTCAATGGAAAAAATTAAGGGGCTGTATTTCAGAATTGCTTCTGGAAACGCCTGCTGACAAAATGTTCTTTTTTCTTTATGTATTTTAGCTTATAAGGTCAACCTAGGCATGGCATCCTTAAAATATCAAGCTAGGTCACAATGGATGGACCATATTTTCTTCACAAAAGAATGCCAAAGGTACAAGAGTAGCTCTGTTCCCTTAGATCTTTCTCCTTCTTTCAAGTGGAGTTTATACTTAGCAAGACTCAGCCATTAGCTCTCAGTACTATGGGAAGTCTGAAATGCACTCAAATGCTATCTTTCCAGAAATCTTTTATAATTATACTCAACTCCACGTCTATAGACTCATTGCTTTAAAGATTGCATGAGCTCTTGGATCCACTTCCTTCTACCCAATGATCATGGAGACGTATAGAGCTGTCACCCTCTTTCTGTTCTTACTAGAGACTTTAATAAAGAATACTATAGCTGGAATTCAGTCAGTATTACATTTTCTTTGTATAAAAGGTGCATGTAGACTTTAAGTCAAAAAGCTGCATGGTAGTGTAACAATACTGCTTCCTAATTTTATATAAAAAAATGCACATTATAAAAAGCCCAATCACGTTTAAGTGAAAAGTCACAATTATATAGAGGAATAAGAATTCAGCGATAAATTTTACCTAGAATGACAGCAATGAGAGTGGTGCAGAAATAATATGCAACCGCACGCAGCCCGATTTTCCCAGATACATTGGAATCCAATGCAGCGACACCTGAAAGAGGGGAGAAGTCACATTACTTTTAGAAAGACTGATTTGCAGGACTAGTAGTGATTCAATCCTTACGGTGTGAAATAAAGAGCTGAGAGCTGTCGCTGGATCTCTTGAGCGCATTGCACACATTTGGACAAGATGTGAAGGGTGAGTAAGCAATATTCCAAACACAGAATTAAGAGATGGGAGCCTCGTGAGAGCTAAGTTCCCCTTCCTGGCAAGCCGTCACTGCCGCTGCCCTTAGTGAGCGTCCTGTCTTGGGGGTGGTCATGAGACACAGTCAGAGGGAGTCCTCCTTCTGCATTTGCTTGCCATGTTGGATGGGAGAAAGGTGGGAGAGGGCATAAATGGGATACATGATGATGGGGAAAAAATTTAAATATATAAAAAAGGAGAACATTATCAAGTTTGTATACTATGTCACTCAATATCCTTTTGGAATTCAGTACGAAGGAAGAGTTTATTTTAAAGGACTGAGATAATTCTTTCCTCACATAATGAAAATCAAATAACTCCTTCTGCCTGTTGTCAGGAAGCTCAGAGTCAACTAAAAAGATAACTTTTACATATGTGTTCATGATAATTATCTGAGTAAAAAGAGAGAAATATAAAAAAACACACACAAAAATTACTTCAGGTCATTAGCCATAGTCAACATTCTGATGAATTATTTACTAATACGTTTTCTTCAATTCTTTGTAAACATAGCTGAGATAATTTTATAGTTTTTAATCCTCTCTCTTCTTAATACTGTATTATAAACATTTTTCCTTATTGTTATAAATTCACCCTGAGGAAGGCTACAAATTTGTCATGAGGCTGTGCATTATGCATTTAATTATCTACTCATTGCTATATCTTTAGGTAGTCTCAGTGCCAAAGTCAGTAATAAATCACAGTAATTTCACTAAGCATCCTGGCTAGCATATTTTCTTCTTCTTTTATTGATTTTCAAATTGCTTCTATGTTAATTTTATTGTGTGTGGTTTCAATTGTGACATACCTAAAAATTCCCTTTTTTATTGTTAAAATGTTTTCATTGATTTTCAGAGAGAGACGAAGGGAGAGGGAGGGAGAGAAACATCAATGAGAGAAAGAAACATGGATGGGCTGCCTCTCGCATACCCCCTATTGGGGATCGAGCCCACAACCTGGGCATGTGCCATGACCAGGAATCAAATTGGTGACCTCTCTCTGCAGGGGACAATGTTCAACCAACTGAGCCACACCTGCCAGGGCTAACAAAGATTCCATTTTATAGAGGCAGGATAAAAATAAAAATTTCTGAAAGCATAGGTGTTTTAAGAGATATATGGCCATGTTGTTAGATGCAGTTTCAAATGAACTTTGACTGCCAATAAAAATACTGAATGTTGCCTGGACTTGCAAGGGTTGTCTAAAATGCCAAGAATGGCTGCAGAGATGGAAGGCATACACCTCTCCTCGCTAGAAGGAGTTGCCGTTCATCAAGGATGCTCATATAAATGGAGTCAATGACGCAGCTCCCTAACTAGAGCTCTCCTATGTGGGACACATGAGTAAGAACCAAACCATCTTTCAGCAAGCTGTCACTTAGAGATTTCAGACTATTCCGCCTGATTTCCAAAAAGAGAATCACGTTTTGATCACCAAAGAAAATGATTTCTTGAGATTGCAACATGCGTGAGTTGTGTCATACTGTTTGCAAAACCTGAAGTACAGGGCAGCAGGAATATGAAGAGGTTGTCATGAAGCAACCCTAGAGAAAAGGTAGTAAATGTAGGCTATTAGTGCACACAAGTAGCTTTTATATTCACTCCTCATACTATAAAAAGCTGTCTATTTTTTTAAGTGACTGGAGGATTATACTCTTCACATACAATTGAACATATTTGATACAGGAAAAATCTATAAGGAAGCTATCACCTCTCACTCTAAACACATCATTCCTCTGACTGTTGATTGCTTCTTTGGAAGTTAACATTTTGAGGGAAGGGCTCTGGCTTCTTTAATAGCCACCCAGAATGTTGTTAAGGGCCTATTCTTCAACATCTGGGACAAGCTTGTGCAATTACTATATACACTGAGTGGCCAGATTATATGATCTCTGAAAACATAATAATCTGGCCACTCAGTGTATGTGTGTATGCATGGATACACACACACACACACACACATACACACACACACACCCACACACACACACACACACACACACACACACGAGGCCTGGTGCATGAATTTGTGCATGGGTGGGGTCTAGCCAGCCTGGCCAGGGGGAGAGGACATGGGCGGTTGGCTGTCCTGCCTGCTGGTCGAACTCCTGGTAGAGGGGACAATTTGCATATTAGCCTTTTATTATATAGGATATACAATGAGTGGTCAGATTATTATGCGTTCAGAGGTCATAATAATCTGGCCACTCAGTGTATATATACATATGGTGAGCACCCTGCAACAGTCACATCCTAGAACAACCGTGATCATCTTTTTCGCTTTCTTTGGGAAAAATGCAGTTTGGTGTTACTCAGAAGACTTTCTTTTCCTAAAGGCAAGATAATGAAAAATAACAATTCTGCAAGAAAACATCAACAAAATTAAGAGACTCAAGGCCACAATTCTTAAAAAGAGAGCAAACAATAATGCAAACTTAAAAGTTTGTTAAGTATATTATATAACTACAAAATGTGCCTATTCCAATTTAGAAGTCTGCATATTATTCTGATAAACAGTTATGCATAACAATAAGCTAGGTTAAAAAGACAAACGAGAAAATCATCAAATTAACAGAACTGAGCCACCTGTATAAGCACCTATATCCCTGACCTAAGTGAGGGTGTATTTTCAGGTATATTGGCCTTTGGTAGACGTCTAAGTTAAGCAGCTCACAGCCCCCATGGTGCTGATAAGTGATAGGCTCACAGGGAGGTTGCAGAACTGTTCCTGGGTATGTGTTTCCTGTCTCCTCAGGATTTTCTTCCAGCAGTGAAACAAATTAAATCTGTGTGGATAACTGTTTCCAGCACATGTTAATAAGTCTTCATTTGTCTTAATGATGTGGCCGAGGGCTGGTGTCTCTGCTTCTATTCCAGGACCCAGCTGCCAATAAAAGGCTTCGTACTAATGAGCTTCTCAGTGGAAATATCTTAAACAAATACACCCCCAACGCAGGCAGCCAGCTTCTTCCTGCTGGAGTACAGCAACTATCTTGTAGTTATTTGCAGGAAGAGCTTTGTTTTCCATTCCTCAATTTACCTTAGTCTTACAATTCTCCTGGACATATCAGAAAAGCATTCAAATCAACAAATGTACTTCTTTGCCTCTCTCTGGAGTTACCCTTTACCTCCCAACCATCACTGACTGAGGGCAGAACTGCCCCCGAATCCAGGCTTTTGAACAGTTTGTAATGTGATGTTGAGAATAGGGGCAGTGACCACTGGAGAGGGAAGGAACATAGGCAAGGAAACAGCCTAATCTTTGAAAAAATTCTATAATAGGTACATTATTGAAGTTAACTTGAATATAAAATGCCTGTCTGCAAGGTCTAAACACCCCACCTGCCAAAAACAACAACGATGATGATGATAATTACACACAATGATGACGATAAGGATAACAACAGACAATGTGTACTGAGCAATGACTTAATGTAGAGTGCATCATCTGTAATTCTCATTATAACTCTATGAGATCAGGCATTATTCCCCCCATTTTATAGAGGAGAAGGCTGAGGCTCAGAAAGGCTAAGTATCATGCCATGGTCCTATAGCTGGCGAATGATGAAGCCAGGAGCCCAAATCCAAGTTTGACCCCAAAGGCCATAGTCTTTTTTTTTTTTTTTTTTTTTTTTTTTTTTTTTAATATATTTTATTGATTTTTCACAGAGAGGAAGAGAGAGGGATAGAGAGTTAGAAACATCAATGAGAATCATCGATCAGCTGCCTCTTGCACAGCCCCTATTGGGGATGTGCCCGCAACTAAGGTACACGGCCTTGCCCGGAATCGAACCCAGGATCTTTCAGTCTGCAGGCCGACGCTTTACCCACTGAGCCAAACCGGTCCCGGCCAAAAGCCATATTCTTAACCACTATGTCATTCTGGCTCTACCAACATGCTACGGAATTCTACTAGGATATCAGTTAATAATAGCAGGCTTTGTAATCAAAGAAAATACGATAATTTCAAGAGAAACATCAAAAGTGCTTTATTCACAGTAATGTCCGTCGGCTACACATTTCCCCATCTTTCAAGTAATTTTTGGATACAGTCCCAATAGAACTTCTCTTGTTTTGAGGCAAACCATTCAGAGATCCAATTTTCCACTTCTTCATATGTTTTGAAGTGCTGCTCAGAAAGTGCGTGTGCCATCGTTCGGAACAAGTGGTAATCTGAAGGAGCAAGGTCTGGTAAATACAGTGGGTGAGTTATACTTCCCAGGCAAGATCTTTTAATGTATCTCTAACTGGTTTTGAAGTGTGTGATGGTGTGACACCATGGAGCAAAATTACTTTGCCATGTCTTTTGGAACATTCTGGTCATTTCACAATCAAAGCATTGTTTAAATTGATTATTTGTTGTTGGTAGCAAGCATTGTTTAAATTGATTATTGTTGGCAGTGATCAGTATTAACGGTTTCACCTGGTTTTAGAAGCTCATAACACACCACGCCTTCCTGATCCCACCAAATGCAGGGCATTGTCTTCTTTCCGAAGTGATTTGGCCTCGCATTCTATGTTGATGGTTGACTTGGATCAACCCATGATTTTTGTGCATTTGGGATTCTAAAAATAAATCCACTTTTCATCGCCAGTCACAATTTAATGCAAAAAATTCTTTCGTGCCGTTGAAGCAACATTTTACTGATGATTTTTCAGTTTTCCATCTGTCTTTCCTTCAGTTGATGTGGCACTCATTTTCCTTCCTTTAAAATCTTTCCCATTGCTAGTGAATGATCAGAAATGATTTGCTGAGCAACGTTTAATCTTTCTGCAAGTTGTTTTTGAGTTTGACACGCATCTTCA